ACCCCAAGCCTGTACTGGTGCATGGGGTTGTTCCTCCCCAGGTGCAGGACCCTGCACTTGCCCTTGTTGAACCTCATCAGGTTCCTCTCTGCCCAGCTTTCCAGCCTATCCAGGTTACGCTGAATGGCAGCACAGCCTTCTGGTGTATCTACAACACCTCCCAGTTTGGTGTCATCAGCAAACTTGCTGAGGGTACATTCTAACTCTTCATCAAGGTCGTTGATGAAGAAGTTAAACAAGACTGGGCCCAGTACTGACCCCTGGGGGACACCACTTGTTACCAGCCTCCAACTAGACTCAGCGCCGCTGATGACAACCCTCTGAGTTCTGCCATTCAGCCAGTTCTCTATCCACTTCACCGACCACTCATCCAGCCCACACTTCCTGAGCTTCCCTAGGAGGATATCATGGGAGACTGTGTCGAAAGCCTTGCTGAAGTCAAGGTAGACAACATCCACGGCTCTCCCTTCGTCTACCCAGCCAGTCATGTCATTGTAGAAAGCTATCAGATTGGTCAGGCATGATTTCCCCTTGGTGAATCCATGCTGACTACTCCTGATAACCTTCTTTTCTTCCACATTTCCTCCAGAATGGAGGTGGAAGAGGAGGAAAGTAGAGAGTGAGAGAGAACAAGTGTGACTGGGGTAAATAAAGGCAAAAAGAGAGGAGGTAGAAAAAGCTGGGGCACAGAGCTGCTCCCTGGCTCTTTCAGCCCCGACTTCCACTCTACCGTTCTTGGCCCCAGGCTGCCTGTGAGCAGGGCCTTGTGAGGAAGAGGCAGACCAAGCAGATGGGATGAAAGCCTGATAAATAACTGTACTGCAGCCAACCACCTAGGCATGAAGCGCTCATGTGTGTAGGGAGGTAAGGAATGGGAATAAGACCCATGGCCATGCCCTTCCTTCCCACAGTGCTACTTTGGTGATATCAAACTTATTCCTCACTTCTTTGGCTGGGCAGCTAGAGAAATAGTCACCAGCATCTTTGGTTTAGCCATGTGCTCCTATGTGCTGCTTCTCCTTCCTGGGGGTTAGGAAGCAATTACTCCCGATGGTGTTTTGCTCCTGCCTGGAACGTAAATAACCAACCATGCTTTCCACTCCTCTTACACGGATGGTGATGAGCAACAGTCAGGGGAGCTGTTAGAGGAGGCAATAGCCTTCTTTAGCATCCCACAGCCCAGTTTTCAGATGTGCCCTTGTCTTTGTCGATTCAGGGGCCTAATTCACCCATTGGCAGAGGACCAACATTAGGCTATTCTATCCTTCGGTCAGCTTTGGGATCGTTGGCTTGATGTAGCTGGGAAAGACCAGCTATATGGTCTATAATGTGTTTGCTATACATATGTGCCTATGTGTATATGTAGACATGCAAAATATATGCATGTGCATTTAGGCACTTCTTTACAAACCTAATTATACCCCCATTATTTCCTTTTGTTTCTTACAAATTGCTGACAATATGTGCACATTTTTTTGGGAGGAGGGGAAGGAATTACTTGAGTAATTTTTAAGTGCCTAAGAGAAGTAATTACTTTGCTTTGCTTCAGTAATAAAGAATAACCAAGCCGTGTGTGTCTTTTCCTAACACACAGGGGTTTTTAAATTTTTTATCTGCCTTTGTTCATTTATTCTGTGTATCTATCTCTAGACTTAGTTTTGCATTATTCGAGTTTCACACTTATCTGACTGTTCTGACATGGGCAGGTCATAAATGGCAGGGCTCTAAATCATCACCGCTTTCCTGGAACTTGAGATGAAATTAACACTGGTGGATCAGCTGCCCAGGAGAGTTACATGGGCAGGAAACTGGAGTCAGTGTGGTGTCCCATTCCTTTTTTTTTGTCAAATGGAAAGTCAGGTGTGGAGATGCACTCTGAAGATGAGCCTGCTAGAGGCAAGCCACTGGAAACAAAAGAGTGACCTGGCCATCTTACCCTAAGCCTGTACCTGCTGGATTGTGCTGGAAGGTGAGATGCCTTAAGGTTCTGAGTCTGCTTTCTGGATAGCAGAGAGCATAGACTGAAAGTGCTGCACATCCCATTAGCCAAATCCAAGGGGCTGTATGTGATCCAAATAAGTCCACTCATCTCCCTTGTAATCATAGAGAAGGGAAGGAAAAAAACCCATCCATGTAAAGAACCTGATTGTCATCATGCGATGGATTTACCCTGGAGACACTCTACTGACTCTTGCCTGTAATGCTGCTGTCTGAGAGTTTGGCTTCAGGGCTCTCTGCATTAATGGGTATTTTCCGGCCAGCACCACCAGGTTCTGGACGTGCCCAAAGGCAGGCACAGAACCAGCATGTCAGTGTCACCTCTGCAATACTGCCTAGCCCTACTAAGTATCATCTCTTGTGTCAGCCATGATCTTTGTTTCCCCTAGGCCGAACGGGACTCTGCCAGGGAGCGTGGAAATCCAGAACAACACCATCTACTTTAAAGGGCCTGTCTCCTACAGCGTGGCTGGCACCTACATCTGTGAGGCCTCCAACGCCATTGGTACACGGTCGGGCTTGGTGGAAGTCAATGTCACAGGTAGGAAAACACTTGGTGTGCTTTGAGAGACAGAAGAGGAGGAGGAGGAGGAGGAGGAGGAGGGGAGAGGATAGTGTGGGTGGCTGACAACTACCAGTCAGTTATATCTCCTTAACATCTGTCTTAATCACCAATATCTCCTTCTAGGGGTGGGGAGTTTCATGATGCAAAGGGAGCAGTGAAGTTCTTTGCTTTGCACTGGTTTTGCACTGGTTTGGCTTGGATTTTTTTCTCCTTTCCTCTTGTTGTCTTTTCCTTTCTTACACCAAGATGCATTCAATTTGTTTCCCCCTTGTGTTCTGCTTTGGATTCAGAGAGATCATTGGGTATGTTAACAGTGAAGACATGTCAGGGAGATATTTATTAGAAAGTATAAGAAGGAGTAGGATGAGGATATAGACTGCCACTGAGGCAGTAAAGCAGGAGATGGATGAGTCATTTGTTCAGGATGTTGTCTGGTGTTTCTAATGTTATGCAATTCTCGTGATTTCTCATTTGTGCTCCTTCCAATGCCATGTTGGTCAGTGCACTTGCTCATCCGGCTGCCGCAGGTTACCAAGAAGCTGTAAGCACTTGAGTACCTTCATCTGGGCTCCAGAAAGGAAAAACATCACAAGATGCAGACAATGGGAAGTGATGCTATGTGATGTCATCATATGGGACAGAATGAATTTGTTGACTTGCAAATCAGTGTAGCTACAGCAGTAAAGAAAAAAACATGTGGATGTGCTTAGGCAGTGTTAGGGAGAGAAAGTGATGTCAAGAAATAGGTTAAAGAGAAGAAATCACATATGGCAGTAGCCTGATTTCGGAGAGACAAAGTGCTATTGCAAGGCATCACCAAAGGCGAAAAGTGGCTGTCGGTGCCTTGAGAGCAGGGAAGGGAAGTTTACCACATTCCTGTGGGGTAAAAGTAGTGATTTGTTTTATCAGTAGGTTAATGACAGTCAGTGATCACCAGTTGTGGGTCTCACGAGAGAGATGTAAGTACCCATTGCAGTAGTGAGCTGGAGCACTGACACGCTGCAATGAGCTCTGGGGTCTCAGGGACAGAGGAGGGAGTCACCTTCCGATGAAGCAGTGCTGCCTGCCTGGAAGACATGCCTGGCAGGTGGGGCCACTTGCCGAGGCTCTCCTCTGGCCCCCGAGCTGGCCAGCAGTGCTGCAGCGGCTCAGTGCTGGTCTCCTTCAGGTCTTCCCCATATACCCCAGCTTGGGACCATTGCCAGGCAGGCAGGCAGGCAGCACAAACCACAGCACACGGCTACTTTTCCAGCAGGACTCATAGCAGGGACTGCGGGGTGTTGTAGCTGCAGACCTGCTCTCTCTGGGGAGAGGAGTGGGGCCGTGGCTGCAGCCAGGTGAGCTGGAGAGCGTGCTGGGGACTCCCAAGGCCTGGGAAACTCAGGACAGGTTCCCGAGGTTGTTAGTCCTTCCTGCTGTCCAACCTGAGAGTGATGAAATGGGCTTCTCAGAGGGGCCAAGCTTCAGCCTCCTGCACCTGCTTTCTATAGTGGTAAGTGCTGAGCAAGCGTAAAGATTAAGCTCAGGCAGCTGACCTTCTGAAATCAGCAATAACACTGCGTTTGGCAGCCTCCCACCTCAGTTCCCGTCTTCTGTAATATGGGTAAACCAGGCTGTTCTTCCTCTATCCATGCGCTTGGAGGTCAATGGATGGGATGTGCTAATTAGATGCTAATTACCAAGTATTTATTTATGATTATTATCACTGTAGCAGGCCTTTAATTCATACCTCCTGTCCTGGATCCTTGCCTGCTGAGTTGTTCTGGTATATGCTTTTCTCTGGGGGATATTTCATTTGCCAGTAAAAGGCACCAGAATAACAAAGCTCTTTGTTCAGGACAGATGGGGCGCAGCACCCACCCTGCCCAACTGCCCGAAGCCAGGGGAAGGTCTTGGCCAAAGTCTGTTCAGCTGCTGGCCATTTCTTGGGAGCTGCCACCAGCGGCACTGTGTTTCTGGGACAGTGCAGGCAACTGCCTGGTACAAACTGAGCAGACTCGCTTCCCATCGGCAATAGAGAACCATCCTATGCAGTGACTAGCACCTTGGGTCACATTTGAAGCAGTGATCAGAGCAAAAAAGCCTCCAAGCTCAGTCCCCAGTCACAGAGCAGGAGGTGGGGTCGGCATTGCAGAAGACTTAGAAAGGAACAGGCTCTCTTTGCCATGTCTCATTTTCCATTTCTGTGTAGCCCGTATGTCCATTTCTGCCATCATTCTGTCTATCCAAACACCGTGTATCTCTTGTGGTGTCAGGACACATGTTCCCAAACACCAGATACAGCGCTCTCTTCATATTTCCTGCTGGTTTTATCTGTCTCAGCGCTGCAGTAGCAGCACAGCCTGGGCAGGCTGCACCAACTTGCACACATGGGCACGGACTCCTCTAGGGATGAGGGTCTGTGGGTTCCCCCTCCAGGCTTCAGTAAATGTCTCCCTTCCTGGTGGTTTTTCAGGGGACTGGTAGAGCGTCATTGTTACACTCGATCAGCGCAGTGCTGGCAAGGGGAGCAGAGACTGGCAGGATTTCTGGGGAATGACTTAGGGTTGATGTCTGCCTGCCTGTGATCGCAATTTATTCCCAAAGGTCTGAATTGTGGGGTTGAGGTTAAATCAGAAAGAAGGAGGGGCACACCAGCAGCTGCCCTGCTAGGAGGGTTTGGCAGCCAACCCGTTAGGCCAAGCCTCCACCGCAGAAAAAAAAAGCTTTTAATAATTCATGGGATCTGAATATGTTTATCCAGCTCCCCCTAAGGACCGATTAGTCCAGTGCTGGGGAGGGCTCAGCCGTCCTTGCTCAGCTATTACAGGTACATTTGTTTGGGTCTTGCAGGCAATTTAGGGATTGTCAGTGGACCACGCAACCTCTTTCAAGAGCTGCTTGCAATAAATGGAGTTCAATCTAGTGAGCAGCCAGCCTTGGGAGAAAAAAAAAACAGAAGGCTGATGCAGAGAAAACCCTGCAGCAGCTTTTCTGCCTCCTGTCTCCTCGGGTACAGACCTTCCCCCTCCTGCCACCCAGCATCCTTTCTCCCAGCCCAGAGAGAAGTTCACGGTTCAGCCCCCTCACGGGGAGGGCCATTTGTTCAGAGGGAGAAGGCTGAATGCTTCTATTAGAGTTATAGTGCATTAAAGAGATTGGTAAGTGGAAATTTAATATTTTATTCCAGCAATCTGTTCCTATAATAGCTTCTCCTGCCTTGCAGGACCTTTGTCAGTTGCAGCCAAGCTACGTAGTGTGACATGTAACTATTTATTACAGGCGGTTGGGTGACATAGTAAAAGGCTGTGGTTACAGACTGCCTGGGCCTCCATGTGTGTCCCTGTGTGCCTGCACACAGGCGTGGTGGTCCTGCACAGAGAGGTGGTCATGTACATACACATGTATGCGTGACCATGGTCTGCATCCTGGCACGCAAATGGGCCTCCCAAACCTGCATGCCTGCACAGGGAGGCCTGCTGCACAGTCACGTGTGCGTGTAGGGTGCAAGAGCATCAGGGCATGTGTGAATATGCATGTATTTATGAAGATGTGTATGGGCTTGTGTGCAGCAGTGCATATACATACCCTGCCCCTTGTTGCATGTATGTACATGTACATTTGTGTGTGTATGTGGGGGGACACTCATGCACTTGTGTACTGGCTTCAGCCAGGGGAAGCACAAGGGGAAAGGCGTTGTTAAAACACCTCTTCTCCCCACGGGCCTTCAGGCACCAGGCAAACATCAAAGCCAAAGGAGAATCACAGTGCTAGAGCTGGGGAGCAGGGAGAGCAGAGACTGTGCTGAGGCAGTGACTGCTATCAGCCTCTCTGCTGCAGGGCTCCTGTCTGCTTCCTGAGGCTGGGAGAGAGTCTTTTCCTCCAAGATACTGCAGGCTCCCCTGGTTGCTTGCTTGGTGTAGCCCCACCTCTGCACCCCTCAGATCTCCAGGAGACAGGACATGATGTGCAGGTGGCTCGAGGAGGGCCTGTGAGCACGGGCGGTTCTGTGCCATTCCCTGCCCCGGGCCGTGCCAGCCCATGGGCAGGAGGCTTTGCAGCCCTGGCCTTGGATGTGTGATGGGCTGCGGGGAAACGGGAGGCTGGCAGGGGCTGACGGCCCCCCCATGTGCTTGGCTTGCACCAGGGAGTTATTTACACACCACCAGAGTTCTGGTCCCAGCAAGGTCACTGCAAACAGCCTGTGGGGCTCGCTGGAGCCCTCCGCCACGCGGCAGCAGGCCTTTGCTACGGGCTCAGAGCGCAAGAGGAAGCCCTTTCCGGGAAGCGTTCAATGCTGAGTGCAGAGCAGGTGCACCCAAAGCCCAGCCGCTGGCCAGGGCTGTGCCACGCTGCACCAGCGAGTGCTTGTGGCTGTTTTAGGTGGGAGGACATAGGGCCAGGGGCTAAAGAGGAGCAACCCTGGGGGGTCTGTCTGATGCTAATCTTCCGGATGGTGGGCAGGAGTATCTGCTGCATCCTGTCTGATGGCATCTGTGCCAACGGCCCCTGCGGGAGCAGTGCTTGATTGACAAGTGATAGGTGACCTGACAGGGAGATTAAAACCTAAGACATGTTTAGCATCTGGCCTAAAAGCCGTCACACTCTGAAATGCAGTGGCAGCTGCTAAACTTCTGGATTAGTTGCCAGTGGTTTTTCCACCCCCACCACCTCCTCTCCCCACCGGCCCCGCTCCGCATGGGGAGAGCAGAAATCCCTGGTAGGGAGAGGAAAGGCAGAATCCTTTGAAGCCAGAGATGGACATGCATAGGTGCAAGGGCTGTTGTGAAGAAAAAAGGGTAGCAGTGCTACAAGCTTCTCAACTTGCAGTCCTGTCCAGGCTGAGGCAGGTCCAGAGGCATCTCCCTTTTTTCACTCACATACATGTTTGTAATACAGCGGGTCAAAGTCCTGGGATAATTTGGTGTGGACTGTAGTAGCAGAGAAAGTTTGCTGTCAACAATCTGTCTTGTAAAACAACCCGCATGATCACCACTGTATTTGCTGAGGTCACTGGAAACTGGGAAGCTCCATGAGCCCGTTGACTTTAAGGTTCCTGCTGCTTACCCTGGCTAGAGCCAGCCAAAGGCCCCCCTGCTTCCCCTTGCAGCGGTTGTTTGATCTTGCAAGACAGAAGGAAATCCAGGGCCTTCCTCTGGAGGAGCTTCATGCTAGGAGCAGCTTGGGCTGACACATGATTTCCCGTGGAGTTTGACATTTTCCTCAATGCCCATGGTTACAATGAGAATCTCGGCTGGTGCTGGGTTTTTCCTTGGCCCTTACGATCGAAGGGAAAAGGATGGAAATGTGACTTCAAGAAAAACTGTGTCCACAGGAAGTAGTATCTTTTAAAATATCGAGGCAGTGTGATGAACAGAGGGCTTTTGAAAACTGGTTTCCCGTGGCTCTGCATATCAGAGAAGAATTACTTGGTGTCTAAAAATATGCATTTTCTGATCTGGGCGCTTTCTGCCCTTGGGAGCAGCCTCTTGTCCCTGTGGGTTCTCTGATGTCTAGTGAGGTTTAGCTCCCACCTCTGCCAGGGAGCCCACTCCAGCTTTCTCCAAGAGCTTTTTGATAGGGATGATTTTGGCTCATTCTTATTTCTGAAGTCCCTCCTGCAATGGGGAAGGCTTGGTTTGTCTCTGCAATGGCAGCACTGCTATGCCCCTGAGTGCTGCAGGGAGAAGGCAGGAGTCGGGGCAGGGAGATGCTCGAGCCCTCTGCCTTGCATGGGGGGATCGAAGAGAACCCATGGGCTCGGCTGGGTGCCAGGGCGAAGCCCGGGGCGACCCCCCGTCTCCCTGCGCTCCCAGCTGCTGCCCCAGAGGTCCGGCTCCTGGCACGGGGACAGGAAGCTGGGCTGAATGCAACAGCTGGCAGAGCCGGGCAGCGGGCAGATAGTGTTGCTGCTTTAATTCCTATTCATACAGCACTCCCTCTTTTTATGAGGGCTGGGGGGTAGCAGAAGGCGGGGAGGCTTTTTATGCCGGTATTAAAGCCTAGCTTGTTCCCCCTCCCTCCACTCTGCTGTCCCCTGTTTCTCCAGTCTGCTTTTCGCTGCAGCTTTAATTCTCTCCAGACTCTTCCTAATGGATTTTTCACATGGGGCCCCCAGCACGCTCAGGCATCGCACCAGTTTCCAGAAATTTCACGCACCCCTCAAACACAAAAAGGGGATCCTTTGCCCACCCTTCCCCTCTCTCCCCAGGCCGCAGTTCTTCTCTCTTTGGCACCCCAGACGCGAGGCTCGGTGGGCAGAGGGGTAAGTCCCCCTTCGGG